CCACCCAGTTTAACCTTTTCCAGCATGAATCTGCTTGTTTTCCTAGCAGTTCATGGTACCCTCAATACTCTTCTCCAGCATCACAGCTCAAAGGTATCACTTCTCCTTCTATCCTCTTTAGTCACTGTCCAACTCTCTGATGCATAACAAGGGATAGCAAAGACCATGGTCTGTATCAGATGCACCTCAGTCTCCAGAAAGACACCATTGAATAACAGGTCTGTCCTAGAGAGGATGAAACCAGGCTGTTCCTTAGAGGCAAAGATTTTGGAGCTCCATCTCACGTATTTCAGGTATGTTGCTAGGAGGGGCTAATCTTCAGAAAGAGACTATATGATGTGGACGGACATATGAAGGGTGGAGGGACAGTGCAAGAGAGAAAGACCCCAGATGAGATGGATTGACTCAATAAGTATGCTCGAGACAATTAAATTTGCTGAAGATAGAGCAGGGTTCAGAACTTTTGTACACAGGGGTTGCTATGAATCACAAGCGACTCAATAGCACATAACAACACATCTAGAGAAATCCCTGCTTCTGAGAAGAAAGTTACTTCATGAGAATAATTTTCAATATGTACAATTTAAAAGTTTGGATTGCCATATGGTCTATTCATGGAGACTGGAGTAGTGTCTATTTATTGGGATCTATTGCATGGTGTACCTTGTATTTCTTGGGAAGTGATAGGCAACACTGGGAAAAGCAATGTGTGTTCAGTTGGCTGGCTTTAAGTCTTAGCCCACCCATCCATCCATCACTTATCTCTAGCATTACTGAATTAAAACACTGAGTGTTGTACCAAATGAGGACAATCACAGTCAGCTCTTGAATGACTAAAGTCTCCGGGTGGATCAAAAAGTTACTATGCTTGACTGCTAGCCAAAAGTTGGGAGGTCTGAGTCTCCCAGAGGCACCAGAAGTAAAGGCTTCACAAGATATTCTACAAACTCTATGGAGCACAGGCTTACTTCACCCCACATGGGCTCCCCATAAATCAGAATTCACTTGACAGCAATGTTATTTGGTGGAAGGGTGGGAAGGTTCCCCTTACAATTGTTGTGAGAATTAAATGACATCACATATGTAAAGCAAGTTACACAATGCATAAAGGAAATATTCCCCTCTGGTCTATGAAAATAAAATACATCTCTAAAGTGTACCTAATAGACAGTGAATCCGCATTCCTCACTATGAAAATATATCCAAGTTTCACCTTCGGTGCAACTATGTGAAACGTGACCCAGCTACTTAAAGGCATTGCTCAAGACAGCCTCACACTTTGACTGGCCCCTACCTGACATTGCTTTCATCAAGGTGTGGATACAGGTGGTTTTCCCAGCCCCGCTGGGCCCCAGGGTCATCATTCCATGCCTCACCCTCTGCGTCTCGAACAGCTGGATGACTTTCAGTTTCCATGGAGGATGGTTGATTAGACCAGCTTCTTCAACCTAAAAGCATAACAAGACCCCACAGTGTGATTCAAATGTTGAGTGATCTGGGATACCAGGATGTTAACAATAAACATGGAAAAGCAATCTAACACATCATCAACGTGACACTCCAAAGCTGACAAAAATATCTGCATTTATTTGTCTTTGGGAACACACTGCATTTGCAATGTTTCACTGAGTATGTCTTAGGAAAAGCATCAGAACAGATATGTATTCTAAATGTCTCATTTTAAGAAAGATATTAAGTAGAAAAAATGGTAGCATCTGAGGTTGACTGAAATTTCATATAAACAAATTTCAAATTTCAATCTGGCTTTTATATATCCATATTCATTCTCTCTCTCTCTCTCTCTCTCTCTCTCTCTCTCTCTCTCT